ATATATATATCTATACCTCCATGCTCAGGTTGGCTTGGGAACCAAAGGATTCATGGATGAAGCAGGCGCTCCCCGGCCTCGCAGGCGGTGCAGTGCTCATGCGGCACTGTGGTGAGCTGCCGGGATCGGCAGCAGCGACTGCGGCGGGAGCACGCGATCTGGACGGCGTTGACCCAGGCGTGGCAGGAAGAGAAACCTAGATATTGTGGGTCGTTGCGAAATCCATTTCGAAGCACCGTTCAGAACGCCTGGAGTGACTTTCAACCAATTTTTGACAGTGGTGCAGGATTTCGTCCATGCTGTGTTTAAATAGGGGACCCCAAAATTGCAACTGTTTCATTTTGTATGGCTAGCCTCAAAAAAAACGCGCTCACATTGCATAGGAGATTCTTGTTTTATCCTCCGCTTGACTCTTTCACTGAAAGTGCATAAATATAAATATATATATATATATATAGGTATATATGTATATATACATGGCTCTTGTTTAGTCCTCTTGACTCTCATTTGACCCCCACTTCTGTTTCAGGTCAAGCTACCCGCCCAACCTTGAGTTTCTACACCTAACATAGCCAGTCAACTGTTGGGTGGATCCCCCACAAATGGATGCGAGTTTTTTGTTGTGTTTTTTTCTTCCTTTCGGGGTCCTCTAAAGTGGTGAACCCCACCAGAGGCTGTGTTCCAACTCTTGCTCCACGGTCGCTGTGCGAACCAGGGCGCCCCTGAGGAGATTCCTTTTTGAGGGCTTGTTTGGTTTTATGCGCTAAAATGTAGAAGGGGGAGTCTGATTCTCGTAGGGTGTTTCCCTGGTTTCTCACACCTGCCTGGGTTTGGTGGGTTGGAAGACAATGGTTGGCGTCATGGGCCATGTTGGTGGTGCCTTTGGAGCCATTTCGGAGTTCCGTTTTTTGGGTTCTAAAGCCATTTCATGGTTTTAACACCATGTTGGATCCCAGAGACGTCTTTGACCGCGAACGCGATGCTAGCTGGTCAAGTTCCAGTGGTTTTGAAAAGGGCACACCCTCTTGGTAAGCAAACATCCTAAAAAATGAGTTTGGAGCGCTTGCTGCTTGCCCAGAGCACTTCCGACCGACCACTTTCAAGGTGTAAGGTCTATGACTTGAGGCCTTCTGCAACCATAAAGCTGCAGCCTCAAAATACGAGCAGGCGCTGGAATACATTCCATGAATTTATGGGAGGCGGGTTGCGCAAGCGTGTGCGCGTTGCCCGCACGCACGCAGAGTTATTCACAGCTCCTGCATCGAAGCAGCCTTTCAGTGCCCGAGTATGCATTTGACAGCTCTTTCTAGAGTTGCAATGTCGCCGCGGCTGCCGGAGGCTAATGCTGCGTGCATTTTTTCCTCCGCAAACGACCGTTACCCTTTATGCCGCCCATTTTGCTGTTGCTTCGCCATCCTGCACAGCAGGACGTATGTCACCGCAGCAAGTTGCACATCGAGATCCATGATTTAGTCGAAGCTCAACACAGCTGCAATGCGTGTGTTGGCCAATTCGCAAGTGGTAGCAGTCAGTGCATGCCGAAGGATTCACACGTGAGTGAATTGCAGTCGACAAATCTGCTATTCACCCCCCCATCCCCACGCTTTCCCCATCACCTGCACTTCTCCCATCACCCACACACTTTCTGTCCCCCATCTTCATCAGCCCTGCTCTCCTTCACAGCGCAACTTTCAAGGAAGTGGAAAAGGCACAAATTACCAGGTGTTTGTCTGCTGTTGCCAACTACTTGGCAACCACCCGGCCTTTGATTGCTTTGCCAAGTTCACCAATGGCACGCCATGCGTCGACTGCCATGCCAAAAATCTCAACGCTAGTCACAGACTTTATGAAGCAAGCTCAATGGGTCCCTGTGAACCAAACCCATCGCACGGGTTGGTTGCGATCTTGTGCAGGGTCTCGGCAGCATAAACCTGTCAAGAGGGTCCGTGTTGCCAGCTTGAGGAGTCAGCTGTTCCAAAATGGAGATGCCGCAGTTGGGCGACGGCCTTTCTTTTCTTTTCGCAGATCCCAGGCAAGCCACTAGTTCCTTTTGAGCTTTCAAAGGGTGATTCCATTTATGTACCTGCCATGGACATGGAGGCACTGGCCATATTTTTGTTTTTGCTGGGGTTTCTACGGGACATCCCACTGTCCCGTGCTGAACTTCGCAGAGAGATTCATGTCAAAGGAATGGGCCTTTGTTTGCTGGACTGTCATTTAACCACCGGTCCAAACAAATTTTGGGCGGGAGGGCTCTGCATGCGCTGAACAGCCAACTTAGGTTCTGCGATCCTTAAGACAAGACTTAGAGTAAGGCCTATCCAATATTTGGGCCTGTCCTTTAAGGTTGGACCCTCCAAAATGGCTTCGTTTCTTTTTTTGGTTTCCCTTTACAAACCCACCACAAGGCGTACCGAGCCTCCCAAAGAAGACACCGTCTAGACTTGTATAACCGTCTTAGTGGGAATTGAAGGCCACCAACTATGTCTCCAAGCTGGCGGCCGCGCTCGGCCGGAGCCCAAGCGAGTGTGCGGGCCAGTTCCAAACAAGCGACACACGGGGCTTTTGGGAACCGTGGAAGAGCAACATCCACTTCGCACCGGTCGGATTTCCATGGTTTATCCCGGCATTTTTTCAGGGTTTCATCATCCATCCTGTCAGGATTTGGTGTATCCACGGTATGGTTGTTTCACTTTGAAATATTCTGTACCAGCACAAGAGGGAGATCCAAGCCGGAGGGGTGAAAACGCAGGGACACACTGAGACACTCACAGTGAGAGGCCTCCAGCTCCCGCTTTGTCGATTTCGTGAGGTAAGTCCAAGTGGGACAAGGTGGACAGAGATCGGGTGAACTCGGTCTTGCGCTGTGTGAGCCAAGCTCAGTGGGCTGCTCGGAGGCATGGTACCTTAAAGATGGTGGTTGTGTGAACTTACTCATTTCAGAGTGGGGTGATTCGGACCACCCAGTGGCTTGACATTTCTCATGCTCTGTCTGGGTGCCCATCCAAAACTGACGAGCATTTTGAGGGGTTCCAATCATGTCCCAAAAGAAGCTTTACAGGTAAACAATTGAGGATCTCACTAAAGTGGACCCAGAGCCCCAAATTAAAGGATCACACTAACAAAACGGTGGAATTCCTTCCCTTGCAGGGAAATGGCCAATCACTCTTGTAGCTGGGATCCACAAGCTTTTTCCTAACATCCGGACCCCCCCTCCCCCCAAACCAAAAAAACAACACATGCATCCAAATCGAGCAGATCCTGCATGTTCAACAAAGCCCGCCTTATCTTGTGATCAAACTGGCCAAGGTTCCTTGCACACTCATCTTCCAGGTGTAAATCTCAAACACACTAAGGGAAAGCCATCCGCTTTGTCCATTGGCGCAAACGATATGGTCTATGACCCAACCAGAAGCAAGTTTGCTCTTTTGTCATCCTTTGGTTGAACACAGGGCACCAGCAAAAGCACAAGCTTGCGGGCACACATGTATTCACACGTACACCCCCACACCCACACACCCACATGCAGGTACGGCCACAAGTGGACGAGCACAAACTTCCCGACAGATCCGAACTTCCTGCGTTTCTGGCAACTGCTCATTTCGCCGGATGCTGCAGTAAGAAGCAGGGGCAGGCGATATCACGTGGTTTTGACACGTGACCCTTGACTTGACAAGCCATCTTTCCAGTTTTGATTAGATTCCCTGCCGAAAGTTGACTCTTGGCATGTGCACTCGGTGGCCTGATTCAAGCACAAAATCTAGCGGGAAGTGGATGCATCAGTACAAAGTATTGAAGTTAATCATGGACCAGCAGTTGGGACGGTGTGTGGTAAATTCCAGAGTCTACGCTCTCTCCTAGCTTTTCCATTCCTATTTCTCTTGCCCATTAATTCCCATCGATTCCCCAATTATTCGACAGACAAAGGGAGAGGAAAGCGGTGAAGGCATGGGAATTCATGCATGAGGAAGGAATAAGATAGAACAGGCCATCTACGGCTGGACCTGGGAATTTGGGGGGAATTCTCATAAAGACAGACCAGAAGGTAGAAAGGGAAGGCATTCCCAACCCATAGTTGGCTTAGAAGGAATGGGTGATGACAGTACATAATAACTCTAAATAAAGGGGATGTGGGGACCATAGAGGCATCTCCACTCATCATGTTAATATTTTCTTTTCATTTCCTATCATTCTCTTATTCCCCATTCATTCTATTTCTATATCTCTCTTTCTTCCTCCCCGCTCATCTAATAATCTGGAAGATGGGGGAAGGGAAAGAGACCCAGTCAAACTACATTTCATAAAGATAGAGCAATGAAGGCTGGGCAAAAATAATTCCCTTTAAGCCGTCCAAATGAACAGGTTTCTTGAGGATGAACACCATCCAACAATTATTATCCAGAAGATACGACATGAAAGCTACTCTCATTTCTTTTACTTTTTTTGATCTATATTTTGATCCTTGTATTTCATATTGGTTTTGTATCTTATCCTTTCCTTTCTATTATATTTGTACTTCTTATCTTTTTGGACGTACTATATTATATTGTTCTTGGATTTGGATGGACAGTTAACTTCTCGAAGAGCCATTCTGCAGACTCCACAAAGATACGAACGGAGTAACAGGAATTAACTGGCTTCATGGCTGGGTTTGGTGAGTGCTTATCTCGAGCGGTTGAACAAACAAAGGATTCACTCTCCACAAGCCCCCCAAAGCCGCCAAAAGCCGCCAAAATGCAAGTGACTTGTGATATGGTTGCTCATTCAAAATTCAGCACCGAGTCTCTGTGGCCGGTTTGGTCCCCGAACTCGTTCGAGGAATTCGCCGGTCTGCGCCCGTCAGGGAGCCAGGCTCGTGTGCAGGCGTGGCGCCATCGAAGTCTCAAATGAGCCCCGAAACTTCCTTTCGGGCCGAAGCTTTGTGGCCCGAGCCCTTGGAGCTTCCTTCATTTTGCTCTGGAACAGAGCTCGTTCTTTTTTCTTTTTTTTCTTCTCCTTTCTTTTCCTTTCTCTTCCGGCTCGGATCTCCGCTCGAAAGCAGCAAGGCTTTTGCAGCTCCTGGACTTTAAGCAACTTTTTTTGGGAACACCATGTTAGTGATAAAAAACAGCAAGTTTGGGGGATTGTTTTCGGCCATCCACTCGATCGGAAGTGAGGAAAGCTGGCTTGGTTTTGCAACAGCTCTGGGAATGACCCTGCTCTTCAGCCTTGCCAACTGGTAGCTTGGCTTGGTTTGGGGTTTGGTGTGGGGTTTCCCCGCATCTACCACCAAAAGCTCAACTCACAAAATACCGTTTGGAGGGGTGGTTTCCCCAACCAGGGCTTCAACCCCCAAACCACCGTGAAGGGTGGACCACCGCTTCACAGTGGCAGCTGAACTCTGCCTGGGCCCACGACTTGGGAGGCTTGGGCACAACTGCGCTCTTCAGTGGGTGCCATCCACGCCAGCAACCAAGACTTGATGAAGTTTCTGCGGCAGCGCCTCGCCGAGTCCGGGGCGGTCTTTTGGTTTTTGACCTTGGTGCCCTGCTACCACCTTGGGGCAAAGGTCAGACGACCCTTCGTTGGTGCTTTGGATTGGTGGCTTATTTGAAGTGGAACCCCTGGTTTTTGTACAGGGTAACTAGGAACCCCCCTCCCGAACCAACAAACCACCAATCCAAACCACCAGTTAGGAAGCTGAAAAGGCAAACCACATTAGGCACCGACCCATTTTTCGGGGCCGCCGATTTGACATGCCCAAATGGAGGCTGGCTTGGGGATCAGAAAGTGAGGGGACGGATGGCCGATTGACTCATTGCCAACGAGCACATGGCGATTTATTTCAATCGGGAACACTTCCGGACACACATCGCCCTGTAAATGATGCCCAACGGAACGGACCCTAGTTGAAAATCATACGCAAGCCCGTTGAGGTTTACAAGCAACATCCAAGGAGGCATGGTGACGAAACATGAGTCTTCCTTACGTTGCATTTTGTGAGGGCAAAGGATGGCCTCAGGGTCTTTGATGGAGGCTGATCTAAGATCGATCACCTGTGAGACATGACTAAAGTCTGGGCCGGCAGACTCGGCTCTCTGTACCGGGGAATTTGTCAAGGGCCGCTGGTTTTCTTGGCAAATGGAACAAAGGGTCGTTGGTTTTGACACATGCCCACCTGGGGTAACCTATGTGGGTCAGTGCATGAGTACGTTTGCGCATGGCAGGAAGTGGTTGTGGAGCAGATTATGTCGCTCGATGTTCCTCAATATTTGTTTAGGGGCCAGACTCTGGGGGCACAGATTGAAATTGTCCTGGCCACATTGAGTTACAATTTGTCCTATTCTGTCGCTTTCTTGCCTACTTCCTTGCAAATGGCATGGCAACAAGCAGTAGGCCACCCAGAAGGAGTTTCCTCTCAAAACCATAGTGTTTCAGCTTCGAGGTTAATCTTCATCGTCGTACTTGCTAGCCTTTGGGAATTCGACGGAGCAGGTGTCTGCGCACGAGCAGCTTTTACTTTCTTTGGAGGCTTGACACCATTTGGGGCTCGTATTGTGTGCCGTGAGGATGTCCCCGCAATTTATTGTCGCTATACACGAATGTTACTTACATGATACTTATATTCATATTCTGTGTATATATATATATAGATATAGATGGATTCATGTTTAAGTCTCCAGACGGGCACGGTTAACGGCGCCCCCAAACACAGCTACGTGCTTTTCCGCCCAACAAACTACATGCCTTCGTGCTGCTTTTACTGCGCATTTTCACTTCACTCACAGGGACCAACAGGACGAAATTTGGCCTGGGTTTTGTTACCTTCCTTCAAGCAACGTGGTGTGGCCAGTAATTTCTTTGTGTTGTGAGCATTATTTTCCAAGCCGAGTTCTTGGCATTTTTACTGTTACTCTGGTTGCAGGAGCAACTATAACTATGACAAGCCAAAAAAGCTTTACAAGCAGGCCCCATGATAAGAACCCCGATAAACCCCCGCTGAATTCCATCCAGCACTGGGTACACTTGCCAACTAATAAGCACCCCTGCTCAAGAGCACGCGCTCTGCACTGCACGCACGCCTGCGAAAGGATGAGAACCCTGCTCAAGCGAGCCCGCCCAAGCGCGCTTGTTCAGCACTGCACACAGGCCTCCAAATGACAAGAACAAACCCTCAAGCGCACTCGTTACGTCACTCGCTCAACGCGGCACACACGCCTGCCATATGATGAGAACCCCCGCTCAAGTGCGCCCGCTCAGCACTGCATGCGCGCCTGCCACATGACAGCACATTCGCTCAGCACTGTGTGCACGCCGCTCAGCACTACACACACACACACCCACACACCTGCCAAATGACACGAACCCCGCTCCAGGGCACTCGCTCTGCACTGCGCCTGCCAAATGATCAGAACCGTCGCTCAAGCGCCCGTGCTCCGCGCTGGAGAGCCGCTGCTCAAGCGCACGCGCTCACTCAAGTGCACCCGCTCAGCATTGCGCAGACGCCCGCCAAATGACAAGAACTGCCGCTGAAGGGCACGCACCTGCCATAGTATATCCCTTCCCTTGATGTGGATACTGGCTTGACCGACCAGACATGGGCACAGATCAAGAAGGGCTTTCCTGTGCTTTTGGCTGGAAGTGATGGCCGCGCGGGCATCAACATGCGCCTGTGGAAGTATGTTTGTGTGTAGTGGTTTAGCAGAATAGCGAAGCATGAGTGCGTCTCCTGATCGAAAACCAGCTCCTGAAAAAGGGTGTCGGAGAGGGCCTTTCTTGGTCAGAGGTTTTGGAAGCGCGCCTGCCGGGATAAGCATACACAGACACATAGATGCATAGATACACAACTACATACATACATACATAGACGCACGCATGCATGCTTCATCCTGCATGCGTGCGTGCGAGCGTGCGTGCACGCGTGCATGCATGATATCCAGTACATCATTACACATCGATAGATGCATTGAACATTCCGTTGTATGATATTGTTTCGCGCAACATGCTACAACGCGACAGTACCCTTCGTCACACCACATCGCACCAACGCACCACTTTACATTACATTACATTACATTACATTACATAACATTACATTACATTGCCTTGCACTAATACCTCACTTTGTCACCCTACATTACATATGCGTTACATCACATTGCATTGCACGGCACATATTCACATGAGCCACAATCGATACCCGGGTAGATGACGGTTAGTAAGGGACAGTCCCAGCCAGAAACAGCTGCGTCCGCCTTTGTATTTTCTTGTTACCAGGCTTTGATTGTGAGGCACATAAGCACGCACACACACACACATACACATATACAAATATCTACGTTTATAGACACACATACACACTTGTATGTGTACATATATCTATATTATACATACATATATATCTATTTATGTATCGGTATACGCATACCTATATATATATATACATATGCATATACACATATACATATACATATATACCTATATAGCTACCTACCTACCTACATACATGTATATATATATATATTTATATGCATATATACATTTACATGCATACATTCATCGACAAGTATGTATAAATTCATACACATGTTTATATGCACCCATACATATACACATGTCATGCCATGCCATGACCAATGACAGGATATGACATTTCATGCATACATACTGACATCTATCCATCCATCCATCCATCCAGCCAGCCAGCCAGCCATCCATCCATCCATCCATTTATCCATCCATCCCATCCCATCCCATCCATGCATGCATTCATGTATCCATCCATCCATCAATGCAACGCGTATGTGCATGGGTGCGTGCGTGCGTCCGTTCATGAATCCATGCAGGCATACATACAGACATACATGCATGCATGCATACATACATACACATACATACACATACATACACATACATACTTTAGAGCCTCCGGCTCAGTCCGCCGACATTGTCCTCTCCCTTTTCTCCTTCTTCATCTCTCCCTTGTCTCCCTCGTGTGTTCTGTCGTCCTCTCTCCCTCCCTCTGCTCCCCATCCTCCCCATCCCCCGAAGCCTCTCTCTCCTCAATCTCCCTCTCTCTCTCTGTCTCTCTCTCTCTCTCTCTCTCTCTCTTTCTCTCTGTTTCTCTGTCTCTTTCTGTCTCCCTGTCTCCTTCCTGTCCACGCCCCTCTACAGAAAAAGGGTACCCTAATTCGAACCTCTCTACTCTCTCACTTTCTCGCTCTTTCTCCCTGTCTCTCGCTCTCTCTCTCTCTCTGTCTTTCTGTGTCTCTCTTTCTCAGTCTCTCTCTTTCTCTCTCCTTCTCTCTCTCTCTCTCCGTCTGCATTGCAGCGTCACGTCGCCCCTGAGTTGCCTCTATGTCCGGGCACTGCCCCTTCATGACCCTGAACTGTCATCTCACTACTGGCTTTCCCTTTGATTTCCCCTTCATGTCCTTGACACGTTTCCCATGATGTCCTGGTCATGTCCCTTCCATGCCTTTCAACTCCCCCTTCATGTCCCTGACATTTTCTCGGTATGTCCGCTTCATTTTCCATGTATGTCCCGTTCTTTCGTTGCGAGTCATTTCCCTACATCTCCCGTCGTGCCGATTGGTTTCCTTGTGCTTTGTTTCCCTTTCATTCCCCCTGCACTCCCCTTGTTTTCATTTCTGTCCTTTTAATGTCCCTTTCAGTTCCCCTTTGTTTCCCTTTCATTTCCCGTTGCTTTCCTGTCATGTCGACTGCCTATTTCCTCCCCTCATTTCCTTGCACTTCCTTGCATTTCCCCTTTGCTCCCCAATATTTGCCGCAAAAAACACGGTTTTTCCAGCGTTTTCGCAATTAGGACGTCCAAAAACACAGAGTTTTTCCAGATTTTCGGCAAAAGGAGGCAGGAACCCCAAACCAGCAAAGAGCCGGCAGGGGGAATCGAGCCTAGGACCCCTGTTTTGCGACACCAGCTACGTTTAGTGGAACGTCATCAAATTGCCGCGCGGTCCGTGGGGGAGCCCCCCCCCCCTGTACCCCACGTATCAGACGTTGGGGGGGGTTAGGGGGGGGTTATCCTCTATCCTCTCTTAGGTGTCCGACACGCCGAGCAATGTCGGCGGATACATACATATACATACATATACACACATATATACATACATATACATACATATACATACATTTACATATACATATACATATACATATACCTCTATATATACATATACATACATACACATACACATACACATAGACATAGACATAGACATAGATACAGACATAGACATAGGCATAGACATAGACATGGACATAGACATAGACATAGACATAGACATAGACATACACATACACATACACATACATACGAACGCCCATCCGTCCATCCGTCCGTGTGTACATCCGTACTTGCATGTATTTACATGCACAGATTGTCGGCATAAACTTAGTTATACATCAATATGTATAGTATGGAGCCATTGGGGGTACACCAGATAGTGGGTCGCTCACGATGGTCCGCACGACAGCAAACTACAACGACTCGACACTTTGTTTCTTCGCAATTCGTATCCTTCAATACGAGCGACAAAGGGCCGAGATGGACTTCGTCAAAGAGTTGGCGCAGCAGCACCAGCATATCTCGGCAGAGATCGAAGGCAAAGATGCGTCCATCGGCGACGCAAGGCGCGCAGTGTATGTTTGACATTAAGCTGCATGCATGTATCAACCATACGGTCTCCTGCGGCTGAAATGCCAGTGTGGTTTACTGGGTCAGCCTGGGTAACTCTATACGATTCTAGCAAGAGGGCTCTAGGATGCTACAGGCATGATTGTCCTTTTGCGCAAGCTAGAAGCCGTTTCTTAGAGCCCTTTAAACGGGTCCCCTGATCAACCAAAGCTGTTGTGACTTGCGAGGAGGTTTCGATGACCGCCTGTGACGTAGCTCATGAGGATCTTTCCGATCTTCTGAGCCTGAAGTTTGTTTCCTCAAGCCGGACACCCGTGCTTTGGTTTCCCTTGGACACTCTTCAAAGTCAGGTAGCAAAAATGGGCCCAACTTGTAGCCAAACCTCTGGGCACCAAGTCAAGGGCAAGAGCCGCACTTCTTTTAGAGACCCCGCAATATCCTATTGGCCATGCGGTGCCAACTTCAATTGGACGTGGTCTTTCTGAAGGGCTTGGTTGCAAATCCCAATTTTCAAGGCCAATGGCAGAAACAACCTGGTAACCCAGCCTTTTTGTTTGTTTCTTCCTTGGCTTTCACCTCTTCAATCTGCTTTCCCCCTCTTTCCCTTGAATTCTACTAGACCTTTCCCTCTGTCAGCTGTGTCAGCTGGGCGCGACGCTTGGTAGCGGCGCTGCGCCTCTACGAACTGACCTCCGACACCCTGCGCCTGATGCGGGTGGGGCCCCGCTCCGACGGAGGCCACAGATCGATTCAGCCGTTTTGTTTCTTATTTTTTTGTTTTGTTGAGAAAGGTGGGGCTCGGTGTCCTTTCCCGTCCGGGGATTTGAATGGACAGGTGTCCCTTCTTTCAGTTAAGGGAAAACATCGACGAGTTCTGGCAAACCACAAAGAGACAGTTATGCGAACATACGATCCTGTCATTTGTGATTTGATTCATGAACTGTATTTATATTTTTCAACTTAGATTGAAAGTGGGAATCGGACAGATTTGGCAAACAGACAGAAATGTAGCAACAACATGGTAAATATAGCAGTCTTTCCAGTATACCGATCACCAATATTAATTGCACAACCTGTCTTCAGCTATATTGATATTTTGAAACCTAGCTGCTGTTAGAGGAATTCATTGTTTCTTTTTTTCGTAGAACATAACACACACACACACTCACACAATCATTTATAATGATAATAATAATCATAGTAAGGAATTACAACATCATACTACCCTATTTTACAACTGGCTCGACTTCCATTTCGTGTCTGAGTTTCGTGTCCAATTGATCCACCAGGTTGATTGATTTGTGCTCGACAATAGCTTGGACATCGTTGAGCATGTTGAGTGTTGGTAGTAGGGCAGGATAAGCCTGGAATGCGGGCTGTGAGACATATGAAAAGACGAGCATAAGCTGCAAAGGGTTGTTGTTGCCATGTGCAAGAGTCTACGAGGGGGAGCACCGTCTGTGTTGTCTCGCAGTGTCTTCAGCATCGCACGCAGGCTACGTGATGTTGGACACCGGGGAGTCCATCAAGCAACTTCTGAGCTACGGGGTCGGCACCAACATCGACTTCGAGTGGGATCTTGCGTTGCTCGGCGACCTTGCGAGTTGGCAACCTTGCCGATGGCAACTTTTTGGTTTGAGGTGTTTGTGGCGAATCGAGGATTAGTTTAGGGGTTGAGCAGTGCCAGCCAGAAAAGTGCGATAGTCGCCCTTGTTGCTTGCATGCTGTTGGGTAGACTCCTTTACTACCATATTTTGACGGCGACTCGCTTTGCTTGCAATTTGGTGAAGGAACAGACCGTTTGTTGAAGGGTCACTCTTGGGTGTTCGCCGATTCAATGATTTGGATCACTCTTGCATGCAAG